TAAATAATAATAACATACTGTAGCTATATATTAGTAAAACCCTTATTTGACACTTGCTTTCACCACACATATTGTCACTCCTAGTCAAGCATTTTCAGTGAAAATTTTTCACTGATTTCTGACCATTCAAAAGGTTAGCATTCAATATACAGTATTATATTTGACTTTAAAATATAATTTTAAACTGTGTTAATAATTTCAATTATTTTCTAGGTTAATTATAATTAATTAAATATTACTATATGACTATAATTGTAAATAATATAAAAATTAGTATATTATATAATATAAACACTAATTCTAAATTTTATATATCAAATATAATAAAATAATTTACAAATATAATAAAATTTATAACAATTATTACTTTATAATTATATAAAAAGGAGAAAACTAATCAAATACAAAAGTTATACAAAATTTAATTTGTTATATATATATATTTAAATGTACATTTTGTAAATAATCTATAATACTGTATTATATAATTAACAAAATAAAATTATATATGTTTAACAACTTTAAATACTACTTTAAACACTAAGAGTTAATTAAAAGTTTTGAAAAAATAAAAGCACTTTAATTGATGACAGACTTGTCTTTATTTTATATAATTAATTAAAATGAATTGTTTGTATATTAGTTTATTGATTACATAAAAAGTTATAATGTATTTGAGTAACTGTTTACCAACTAATGTTAAAAACGATTGATTAAATAGAAACAAAGTTTGAATTAAATGATTTTAGTGTTATTGACAATAACATCAAAAATAAAACGCCTCAAGACTTGTTGCTATATATAGTTTTTTTTGTCATAAATGTTTGAATTTTTTAAAACAAAACTTTAATCAATAAATGTAAATATATGCTTAATCCTCTCTTTCTCTCCCCCTTCTCACTCACTCACTCATACACATCAGAGAGTGAGTGAGTGAGTGAGTGAGTGATTGAGTGAGTGAGAGAGAGAGAGAGAGAGAGAGAGAGAGAGAGAGAGAGAGAGAAAGAAAGAAATGCCAAATGAGTCATACATTCATATTATATACTGTATTGTGATTGAGAGAGCACTTGGAGTATGGATTGCATTATATGTGGTATGGATTTATGTCGATGTAAGGATGTATGCATCCAATTCATTGTATATATATATATATATATTTATATATTGGTTGTATAGTTAGCATAGATATACAGTGATGCCTGTAGTGCACACTATGTTATAGTCAATGGTAAGTGTAAGGCATAGTCTGTATTATAGCCATAAAGCTTACGACAAATGGATTGAGTCGACACAGTAGTGATGCTCTGCTCCGTTACTATAGTAATAGTCTCATACCCTTTAAATGACTGCTTCCAGTGCTGTCTCCCCCTCTGTGCGGAATCCCTCTCATTCACAGTTGTGTTGTTGTGTTGAGATGAGAGCTTCCAGTCCTCTGTAGTCCTGTGCTCTCTGTTGCCTCAGTCTCTGCTCTTTATATATCTTATATATAGTATATATTGTGTATAACTGTGTAGTAGTGTTTCGTGTATATTGTAGTCAATGTAATACTAATGGCTGTAATGCAGGCTGTAATACAGGTTCCACCCACTCCTACATCTTCACCGTCTAATATTGTAAGTTTAATACTTCTCTCTCTCTTTCTCTCTCTCTCTCTTCTCTCTCTCTTTCTCTCTCTTTCTCTCTCTTTTTCTCTCTTTCTCTCTCTCTCTCTTTCCCTCTCCTCCTATGTTTCTCATCTATTGTTTTATTATATATCTCATGCTGTGTCACATCTCATTTTCACACATTTTACACAAATATTTCAAAGTTTTACTGTAATTTAATGTTAAACACTTTTATCAACCCATTTACTTTAAAACTAATATTAAGATTTAGCATATAATGAACAAATATTTAAAAATATATTTATGTATAAAATTTTTGATATATACAATATATTTAAATAAAACAGACCATAAATAAGTAAACACATTGACATTTATACCACATTTGTCTCATCTCTGCAATTCATACAATGCATACTTTGAAAATCATTATTAACTATCGTATTAATACACTATTATGTGATTTTTTCACTGTTTTTATTTTATTTTTATATATTTGTTTTTATATATTTTATTATATATATTATCATATTTATAAAATCTATCGATTTAATGATTTATTAAATGAATAAACAGTATATTTATATATAAACTAAACTATATATACTGTATACAGTTGTGGTCATCATCTGTGATCCATTGCTTGATTCACATGTGATTATGTAAACTGAAAAATGATTGAAACGAGAGTTCTTTAAAAGATCACACATTCATATATCACACAACCTTTTAGTCGATAAGGCCTACCAACCAGTGCTAGACAGACACTTATAAACATTGTGTGTGTAATATATTTATAAAAATATTCATATAACGGAAACTAATACCAATGCAGACTAACTGCAAACACATGAGAGGCGAGAGATGATAGACTTCATAGACTCTTAAAAATGAGACTAAAGAGAGAGAGAGAGAGAGAGAGAGAGAGAGAGAGAGAGCAGAGAGTAAGTCATTTGAATGGCTTTATTGAGCTATTTTTGAGTTTCAAAGTTATAGTAGAATTTGAGAAATGAGTGAAAACTCATTTAATATTTTGCTAAAAATTGGATTCAAATATATTTACACACATTATATATGACAAGAATTTTTCTCTTCACTCATCTAAACGTTGGCCAAACTCTTCAATTGAGTCTCTTTTAACAGTATTTTATATATAATATACAGTGTGTAACACAGTTAGCACTGTTAGCATAGTTAGCACAATCAGCACTGGTCTAACTATCATTGCTTTAAGGGCGGGCAGTGATAATATTTAGTGGACTCATTGTAACGCTCTAACCGTTATTAATCATATCTTATGACTCAAACTACTGCATTGCACATCATTTATAATATCAAGAAAATTATTTTTAACACTAATGCTCACAATTATTATGAAAAATGCTTTCATTTATATCAAATTAAAATAATATATTTTTGATTAACAATTTAAATCATAGTAAATTACTAACAAATTGTTGTTTCTAACTTATTGAACTAATTATTGAAAAATAAAAAAAAATTAAAAATTTAGTATAAAAGATAAACATGGTATATTATATTATAAATATTAATAACTACTGTAATTTTATGTTATATAATTACTATAAAATCTATTTATACAGTATTATTTTTTTGTAATATTTAGATAAATTTATTATTTTACATCAAATGAATAAACTATTAATTTTCCGATATTCTCATCAATCAATAAAAATTACATTTTAACGCATTGTTTTAAAGTGAGAATTTCACAGTTGATATATCAATGTTTTATCAGATCATGTGTTGAATGATTGTCTTTCATTTTTGTTGTTAAAACAACAGTTCAGCTCTAACTAAAACAAATGTCAATCATGAATATGTGATTTTAAATATAAACTAACATAAATTGAGAGATAGATAGATAGATAGATAGATAGATAGAGATAGAGATAGAGATAGAGATAGAGATAGAGATAGAGATAGAGATAGAGATAGAGATAGAGATAGATAGATAGATAGATAGATAGATAGATAGATAGATAGATAAATAGATAGATAGATAGATAGATAGATAGATAGATAGATAGATAATACTGAGTTGTATTGTTAGTTGTATGTTGACTAACATTAAATTCATTATAATGGTGTAAATTATACGTGATATGAATGCTATAAATGTTATGTAAAGTGATTCACAAAACAACAACAAATATCAGTTGTAATGGATATAACATCAAAACCAACAGAAACTAAGTATAAAATGAAAAGTTATCCATTAAATGATAGACAATATGTGGTACACATAACATGTTATGTATGACTTCATAAGTTATTAACAGCAAACTTGTCTATTACACTATCTATATGTACAGTATATAACCATATGAGGGCTATATTGAGTAATAATTTGATTTTGAGCCCAACTTTTCACTTGAATGCGTGCTTTGAGACCAACACATACTACTTATAGTAAACACTACAGTATTGTCCAAATATTGTCTATTTTATGATATATACACACATATAAACACTTGCAATATAATGTTTGTACTGATATTTTTACAAAAAGGAAATGAATGTATATTATAATGTTATTGCGTTAAAGATGTTTAAAATTGACTATTATATACATATTAAAAGTTCCTGTAAATATCAATTTATATATATTTTAAATATAAATATGACAATGAGAGAAATATTATACACAAATCATTAGAAAATTAATATTATCAAAGTTATTGTATAATTTTATATAATATAAATTATTTCATTTGTACTATTTGATTTAATATTTTTATTATATTAATATTTAATCAAAAATTAAATAAATGATAAATATTGTTAACCAGTTGACAGTTTAGTGACAATTTTTGAGTTTTCATTATAAATCTATAATTATATATTATGTATATATATTTATGTTAGTTTAATAAACATGATTGATAATGGAATGTTTGCTTTCTATATACTATGAATACAATTATATAATTTATAAATAAGATAAGATATAAATTAATATTGAATTAATTGTAATAAATTAAGTCTAATATGACTTAGAAATTGACTTAAATGATGATTTCAAACAACTTTTGTTTTATTAATTTACGGCAAAAATCTGGAGACAAGAGTTATAGAGTTTTGCATATTAGTTGCGATACAATTGTCTAAATGGTTATAGCAGTCATTGCTTGTTCTTTGCGCTGTTTATTTATGTAATACCAATTTAGGCCGTTTTTAGGCCGTTCCCCAATCACTCAACAAAAGTGTTGTGCATTTTTGCCAAATGTATTGCAGTTCAGTGTTGTTGTTGCAAAAGCTGCCAGTATTTAGCAGTTATTAAATACCATTGATTTTTCTGTTTCTCTATTTGCGACACAACTGATGCAACATTTTGATGATAATGAATTCATTTGTCTTTCATCTAATCAACAGATGAACCGTCCAATACAAGTCAAACCAGCAGATAGTGAGAGTCGAGGCGGTAAGTCGACACCCATTCCTACCAATTGCTTACATATTAGTTATAATGTTAACCATTTTAACCATTTTAACCATTTCTACAAATCTTACAATTAACACAAACAATAGATATGTTAAAGTATTTACATTAAACATACTGTATGTTAATAATGGTTTACATAATATTTCATTTTGAACCGAATATATTTTGTGAAAAATATAGTTCACAAATATAAATATAAAATATTATATTTATCAGGGTTGCTAAAGGTTTTCGATTTCAGGGGGGGGTATAGGGGGAGGTAAAATGGCAAAATTTTCGAAAAAGCTTGGGGGGGGGGGGTATAGGGGGGGGTGAACATTTTTTATTGCATTTTTAAACGACAATTTTTGCCAAATTTGAGTAAATTCCCATTAAATTCCCATTAAATTCCCATTAAATTCCCATTAAATTCCCATTAAATTCCCACTAAATTCCCACTAAATTCCCACTAAATTCCCACTAAATTCCCACTAAATTCCCACTAAATTCCCGCTAAATTCCCATTAAATTTTCAATAAATTAACAAATAAAAATATTCTCAACTTAATTTCTCAATACTCAAAATGTTTTCTAAATATTAAAAATTGCATAAATATATATATAACAAATATAATTATAATTATTAAATAAAAATATTATTTAGATTTTAAAAAAATAGTTATTGATTAAAAATTAATGATATAATACTGTATTTATTAAAACGTTTTAATAATAATAATAATAAAATTGGCAGAAATAATTATTAATTAGTTCTAAATAATTAATTTAATTTAAAAATATATATTTTTTTAGTATTTTATATTGAACCATAACTAACACATTTTAATACTGTATTTATTAAAACGTTTTAATAATAATAATAATAAAATTGTCAGAAATAAATAATTAGTTCTAAATAATTAATTTAAGAATATTTTTATACATAGTATTTCATATTGAAAAATAACTAACACATTTTACTATAAAATTTAAAAATATTAAAATATAATAACTTTAAAATTTATGCTAAAAATTTGTTTTCTACTTTTAATAAGAAATAATATATATAAATATTATCATTTATAAAGGCTAAAAAATAAAATAAAATATTTGATTATTTTTTTTTGAAAATTGGTGGGAATTTATTAGGGAGCTTTTTTCCTTGTGGAGTGCCCCAACTCTATTTATGTAATATTTAGTTAATATTATTATTATTATTTTTAAAGCACATAACTAACAAATTTTAATATAAAGTTTAAAAATATTAAAATATAATTATTTTAAAATTTATGCTAAAAATCTTAGTTTTCGACTTTTAATAAGAAATAAAATATATATTATCTTTTATAAACAGCTATAAATAAAATAAAATATCATTAATTTTTTTGAAAATTTGGTGGGAATTTATTTTTTAGCTTGTGGAGTGCCCTAACTAGTGTAAATAATGTTAAATTGATGTAATTAAGCATTTTTATCTATTTATTTTCTATACATAAGCTATTAATTTATATTAAAACTAATTTAATATTTATTTTTTTGTTTAATATAAAATTTTACATAATTGAAAAAAATTTTCGGCGCCTCCGGCGCCGAAAATTAGTAGGGGGCCCCCTAACTTTCTGGCTTCAGGCCAGGGGGGGTAAAAGCCAAAATTTCTCGATCTCAGGGGGGGTAAGACGTCTTACCCCCCCCTACCCCCCCCCTTTAGCAACCCTGATATTTATATACCTTATAGTATACAATTTATTTAAAGATTTAAATGTTACTTACAGTAGTAGCGCAATACCATTATCTATATTTCATAAGAGCACACAAATACAGTTATTTTGATGGCATCGGAGACACTTAGAAACAGTACACGAATAAGACTATTGCTTACATTTAGTTACACACAATTTATTATTATAAGTGCATCCAAACATTTATTGCTCTCATAAGGCAACTGTTTAAAAGTCATAGCACTTCATCCCCAATACCGGTGCAAAAATGCCATTTAATTATTACATTTTGTGAATCACAGCTATTCAATGTTTTTTTTTACTTTATATTTATTAATTATATATATTTTTATATATAATTTTAATTAAATCAAAACTTTTTTGTTATTTAAATCCCGACAGAAGATAGAAAATTATTCGTAGGAATGCTTAGTAAACATCAATCTGAAGAAGACATACGAATGTTGTTTCAACCGTACGGTTGTATAGAGGAGTGTACGATATTGAGAGGACCTGACGGACAAAGTAAAGGTTCGCTCAAATATTATTTGTTAATAATTTGTTTGAATTTTTATTTATTTTAATTTCAACATGGTACAATTCAAATATAATTTACATTAATATAAACTTTTTTAATATAATTAATTTGTTAAGTATCTGTTAGTTGCATAATAATTATATTTATTTGAATAACTATGTAATTAAATTCTATTTTTATTTTCTAATTTCTCTTTATGGATATAAATCTAATATCTAATTAATCAATTTCTTTTAAATATTAATACATATAATTTAAGAATTAAAATTTTTAATATAGAAAATATTTTTAAATTCAGCAAAATTACAAAACTTTGAGAAAAATAATATAATTCAACAACAAAGCAAATACTTGACAAAATCATAGAAAGATTTTTATAAAGCGCATGTGTTATATTAATATATATACAGTATATATATATACAGTATATACTGTAGATATACAGTATTATACAATATATATTATTATATTTATTAAAGTATTTTCAAATTATTCTATTAATCTTTTATGTCAATGAAAATCTTAATTACTAAGTGATTATTAAATATATAAAAATATAAAAGTAATACAAATATCGTAAACTAAACGATCTTATAATTTACTGTTAAAAACTTACTGAGAATCTTAAGACAAACAAAGATAATATATTTACAAATACCGTATGTATTATAAATAAATTTTTAATAAAAGACTGAGCAAAACATATTGTTTTGTAGAGAAAATTATAATACATTAAAATTATAAATAAGTTATCTTATATAATATATATATATATAATTATTTAAAATTTATGATATTCTGTAGTGACTTTTTGATTTATAAATACTTGTTGTCATGATATTGATATTTAAAGAGTTTTTGTGTGATAATGTTAGCAAAAATAAAATACTATTATTTTTAACACACATACAAAAACATACGCACAAACACACACATCCACACTATAAAAATTAATCAATAAAATGGTTAACTGTTGGACAGGCTGTGCATTTGTCAAGTTTGGTACACATAGTGAAGCTCAGGCAGCTATCAATTCATTACACGGAAGCCAAACAATGCCGGTAAGCATTTCGTGACATTATATGTTTGCTTTTTATAGATAATGTTTGTAAGTATTGTCAATTATTTTAGTAATATTATTAATATACAATATTTGATTAAAATGTTATTTTATAATATTATATATATATATATATTTAAAAAATTCTTATTAAATTAATAATTATGATTACCGAATTAAATTTATAAAAATAAAGGGCGCCTCCTCCAGTCTAGTTGTTAAGTTTGCCGACACTGAAAAAGAGAGACAATTAAGGCGAATGCAACAAATGGCCGGTAATATGGGTTTATTAAGTCCATTGGTGTTTAACCAGTTCGGCACTTATGGCGCTTATGCTCAGGTATTCTTTATATATAAATTAAATATTAAATTTGACTAATTGTTGAATGTTGGTAATAATCAGTTAATGCAGCAACAGGCCGCCATTATGGCTGCAGCAGGTGGTTATGTGCCTATAGCCGCAGCATTGGCCGCACAGTTACCTGCACAGGCTGTGCAATTGCCCAATGGACTCACCAGTCCTGCCCTTACACCCACCTCAGGTAATTGTTAGCATTATATATATATATATATATATATATAATTATAATTACAGTATACTACAACAAACATCAAATATTATTTTGATGTTCAATCGAAATTGTTTACCGATATTTTTACTAAAATCTAAATATCAAACTTGAATACAGAATTTGGTTCTGCATTGAAAAACCAAGACTTTTTAAGCAATAAAAGTGCACTTCAAATGTGCTTTGCTTTGAAAAAAATCTCATATATTGTAATATTTTTGCATTAATTTTAAAACACAAATGCTGGGGTTATTTAAAAATATTGATATTCACTGAAAATTATTTGTTTTACATAATAGAGAAATGCATTTTTATGACAGTAATGGGAGTAATAGAGTTTCAGGCAATTCAATGACTTTTTTAAAACATTTTAGAACTTAATGTATGTGAACTTAAACTAACTAAATATTATGAATATTGTATAATCTATAGTATGAATTTATAAATATATATTTTTATAAATACTATAGAATTTATAGCAAATATTTTATTCTATATGTTGGTTTAAGTTGTATATACAGTATTGATAGATAGATAAATTATTGTTATATTTAATAATAATATAAGATTTCTTTAATAAGTTTATTTTGTGATAGAATGGCGGGCGCCTCCAGAGTAAAGTTATAAAGAATACTTTATAATGTATTTTATAAATAAACTATACTGTATCTAATATTATCTTATGTTAAATTATACATGTAATAATCAATTATGATTATCATTAATAACTCAATTATGTTATATTTAAATACCGATTTTTATAATTATTATTATTAAGAATATTAAGTTAATTAAATAAATAAAGTTAAATATTAATTATAATTATGTTAAATTAGTTAAATTAATTATTATATGTTATATATACTCACACATGTAAATACATATGATTTATTGACACCCATGCATTATATTATAATAAATTGAACTAGTGGGCCTACGGGCCCATACTTGAACACACAAATAACGTCTACTATTATTATAAGCATACAGCCTATGAGTATTAAAGGGAAAGATGGTCTGTTTTCACGGAGAGCCCCCTGGAGATCCGATAAAGGCTTTCAATAGACTAAAAGCATTGACCAGTGGCCAGTAAGCCCCTAGAGGGTCACCCAATGATTACGTGACACCAGTGAGGTGTCCTATAAGCTACCCTACCATAAATTACGCTCATTACCTTTGCAGTGATATTCAGTATTATATATATTCACGGTATCCGGTTATTCGGACCGTGTTAACGGGATCAACCTAATATATCCTTAAAACCAGTCCCGTTACAATTTAATACAATAATGTATCGTTATTTCTAACCCATACCCAATTCGTTACATTTCTAATTTGCTACAAATTTGACTGAAGATGCCATACAATCATTAAATATTGACACAACTAGTGTTGGAAAAAAGAGAAATTTATAAAATAATAGAGAAGTTTCTAGAAAGTTTCTAAAAGAAATTTCTATCTATGGGATCCCAATGTTAATTTTGTTTTTCTCAATATACTGTATGTTATCATGTAACAATACATTGTTTTTACAAATAATAATTAAATATTAGTATTAATATTTTAATTATTAATTAAAGTAAAAATTAACATTTAATTATCTTAAATTCTTATATATATATATAATAAAATGATTATTAAAATTTTACAAAATTGATTATTATTAAATAATTATAATTATTTTACAAATAGTTATCCCATTTTGTATAGTATAATGTTATATGAATAGTATTACTGTACATTTCATTATTTATATAATATTACAATAGCTATAGATATGGGGATCCCATAGTATAACAATAAAGTTAAATTTCTATAGAAATTTATTTCTGAGAAATTTTCTAGAAACTTTCTATTTGCCCATCTCTAGACACATCGGACACAGTTTCATAATAAAACCAAAATCTATAAAACTTTAAATATGAATTCAAACAATTGATTTCAATAGAATTTATACCAATTTTAGAAACCAAAATATAAAATTGTTTTTTGGTTTCAATTTTTTATTTTATTATACTTTTGTATTTTGAAACTGACTTTTGTAAATATATTTATAAAAACTAATTTTTATCATCAATTTTATTGAATTTTATCTAATTATCATATATTATAATCTGTAAAATCATAGCTAAAGCTATTAAGTTATACAATTGAATGATTTTAATTAATTATTAATTAATTAAAATATAAATTAACAAATTATAATAATTTAGGCTTTGTTTCAATTGGTATTGGAACTGGAAGTCCAAACACGACCAATGGAGGCACTCACGGTCATCCACCAAATGCTCCGACCCCACCATCATATCACGGGACGTGCAATGGACAGACACCTACTCCGACTGAAGTCTACACAACGGGTTGTTTGCAGAGTCTGATTCCAAGTAATACATACTTATATTCTCTATTGATTAATAATTTAAACTATTATTGACAATAGTTTATTGTTTATAACAAAAGCTAATCTCTCTATCCATTTGAAATGTTTTGCTAATTAATATATAATCAATGTTTGACAGCTCAAGCCATTCCCAATGGAGATCCACTGCAATCCGGAGCCGCCGCTTATCAGAGTCTAACACCTTATCACGGAATAAGTGAGTCTTTAGTACATTTCAACGCTTGTCTCCAAATAATTGGTTTGAATATCAAAATTGTTTATAATTTTAAATTCTATTAATTTATAATTAATTAAAAAAGTTTCGAGTATTACCTGTTATGTATTATTATTATACAAAAAATTAAAAATCAAACTGATTATTTGTATTTAAAATTATAATTGTGATTTATTTGGTAAACATGTGATGTTTTTATTATTAGATTAAAATATATATATATATTATTAGATTAATTTAAGACAAATTAATATTAAGACAAAAAATGATAAAAATTAGTATATGAAATGATAGAAAAAATTATTGTTATTACATTATACATATCGAGACTATATATACAGTATAAATTTATTATATATATATCTATATAGTATATACTTTATTTATATCAAAATACATATTTTCAAAATATGTGTTTGATATTTATGAATTGTATATGAAATTAAATGCAGATAAAATTGTCTTCAAATATAATTACAGAGTTTTTATTTTTATAATTATAATTTTAATAAAAATACTGTATTTTTATTATCTAAAAATTCTAATCTTATCTAATTCTAATCTAATTAATTAGAATTTATAATATTAAAATATAAGTAATTTTGTTTAATTTATATTCATAAATTTTTAATACAACATTTTATTAAATTATATAATATTATACTAGTTATATCATGTTTTGTAACTTTTCAAATTAAATAATACAATTAAATTTTTATTATGACAAACCATGTGAATCAATGGCGACACTTATCTAGTAATAGTAATGGCAATGAAATGATTGAATGCATCTTTCGATTAACAGTTTGCCTCAATTTAATTCAATCTCTTAATATTTGCATCAATTATTTTGTGATTTTTTATTAAAAAAATGAATTACAATATAATTTAGTTTATATGATTTTGACATAATTTATTATAATCAATTATTTAATATGCATATGCAATTCATATAATTATTATTTAGCATAATTTTAACAAAATCTTAACAAATTTATCTGTTAATTTATAAAGTAATTTTATATTGTGCCTTATATTACAAAATATAACTTATATTCAAATTAGTTTTATAAGTCATATTAGTTTACTATTAGTTATTAGTTCTATTCTTATGTATTCAGATTTAAAAGTATATAATGTAAATAAATTTTTATATAAATAATTTTTTATATAAATAACAAGTAATATAGCAAATAACAATATTAGTAAAGTATGTTTATTATATAAATAATAGTTATAAAAATTATTGCCTGTGTTAAAACTATAAAGAACTGAAACCACTTAAAACATTTTCATTATAACATCAATAATTTATTATAAATTAATATATAATTTGAATTGAATATTCAGACAAATTATTATAATTATTATTTCGTTTTTTGACAGTTAACTGAAACAATAAGTCTTATATCGATTTTTATATAATTCTAATTATAGTATAATATAGTACTTTAGAAAATTGATTATAATGTAATCAATATAAACAATAAAACACATTTAACTTTATATATATCAATAGTAGGATAGTATAATAAATAATGAGATAATTTATTTAACATTAAAGTAATTGGTTAATATGAACACTACTAATGAGACATATTGTTAATTGATTATAATAGGTTATCCACCAGCATATGCGGGCCAATTTGCTCAGGCATTGGCATCACAACAGCCAACTGTGGTAACCACATCACCTCAACAGCAAAGAGAGGGCCCCGAGGGTTGCAATTTGTTTATATATCATTTGCCACAAGAGTTTGGAGACGCAGAGCTCATGCAAATGTTTCTGCCGTTTGGTAATGTTATCAGTGCTAAGGTTTTCATAGATAGGGCAACAAATCAGAGTAAATGCTTTGGTTTTGTCAGTTTTGACAACCCTACCAGTGCCCAAACAGCTATACAAGCCATGAATGGCTTCCAAATTGGTATGAAACGCCTTAAGGTTCAACTCAAGAGACCAAAGGATGCCAGTCGGCCTTATTGATTGCACCATCAACTTAGCACAGGTATGACAGCAAATTATATACCAAACAACTAATTCAATATATCTATATCATGTAATATTATACAAAGTATATAAAGTTCAATTTTGTAAATATTGTATTACTATATACAGTAAAATCAACTGACAAGTAATAATATAAAAATAATATAATATGTATAGTATAATATAAACATAATTTTATATTATTAATAATATATGAATCGGTTTTAGTATTAAAAAATTTGTTAAAATAATTTCAAAATTAGTTGATAAAAATTTACATATTTGTAATTGTCGTCATTATAAATTTTAATATTATTGCAAATTTATAATAATTGCAAACTTTATGATAATTATTATGTCAGCAAATTATATAATATTTTATTTTTATGGAAGTTTATTACCACATCATTACAATTATTGATATAAAATATATTATTAAATTAAATATATTTTTATTAAATTTGCTTTGTCTGTTAGACTAACTTTATATACTTTTATATTAGACTAAATTATATTAAATATTATAATACTGTACATTGATTACAAATGATTGTATAGTATTAACAATAAAATTCAAAATAAGGCCATATTATGAAATGTCCAATACTGACAATCATATGTCACATATCAAAACATAAGTATTTATATATATATAAATATAGCTTATTTTATACGATGACATATTTATATAAATATATCAACAATTATTTGGCAAATGTTTTGACAATTTTTAAAAAGAGGCCACACTTTTATATTTATAGAAATTTTGGTGAATCTACTGAATCGTTATCACATATAACTTATTACTACCATTCCGTCCACTTCTATGTGAAAACTGACTGAACAATTGAAATAAGGTTTCCAATCAACAAAACAATACCAATCAATGCAATACTGATGTAGTGATGGAGTATTGATTTGTTTGCATATAAAAGGAGTACTATTTTAGTAAGTTATTTATATAAAGACTGGTTTCTACTTTGGGTTATATCAGTGAATAGCATATTGAATGTGGCAAAGCATCTCATATAATATCATACAATTGATTGTTAAATATTGTTGGATATGTAGTATTTGTTGTTCAATATATCATGTTTTTAGTTGTTGTCATTTCTATTTGATCCCATCGACAATCCTATCGACAAAATGGGTTTGTCATCATTACTGGTGCACTCTGTATTTAATATGATGTTACAGTACATTTCAATTTATATATTTTTATCTCCCAGTATATGCTCCATATAACATACTATTTATTTATAAATATATTGATGTATTGATGTTTTAGTGGCATTACATAACTAACATATTGTTCAAATTTTGATAAACAGTATTATAGTTGTGACCTATCATTCAATTGATATCCATTTCCTAATAAAACTAATTATTATTTTTTGTTTTTTCACAGATCTTACTGAATACTTGGATAAAACACTTAAATATCAAATCATATACTTATATCATATATTATAAGTATATATATTTGAAATACTTCTTAAAGAGCTTTTAATGGCCAACAGTCCAAACATTTTTATTATACATAAAATAATATATACTATTTGACAAATAACACATACATACATACATACATACATACACTATGTTTTATCTTTAAAATGGCTAAATATTACATACATATATATATATATGTTTACTATGAATTAATATAATATAAGGAATATTTCCCAGTGTTGACCACATATTATAATAAAAGTTATATATTAATAATATAAATTATTTAAGGCCAATATCATAACATTAATTCAACATTAATTGATTCATTACATAATCAACAAAACGACAATTTGACGATTCATGCGAAGAATACAAATAATTAATATATTGTAAATATAGCTAAATATATAAATATATAAATATATAATCTCTTATATCATCAGATGGTATCACGAGATTCTTAACAAAACTAAAAATTATTTTTAGTGCGAACCAAATGTTTTGAGCACTAAATAAATATAAAATAAATATAAAAATTAATAAATTTTTCATTAATAATTCATAAAGAAAACACTCATTATTCGCAAAATAAGCACAAAATTGACGTTAAATCCCATCAGATTTTGAGGAAAGAAATCACTATTAAACTCATATCAAATTTTATAAGTTACAAATAATTATATTAAATATTATCTTTATAGTTTAATTTTATGATTATTATTAATTAAAAATATAAATATAATCTATTATATAAAATATAAATTTAAATACAATGTTATAATTCATAATTTATAGATAATACAGATACAATATGTTTAATTGAGATAATTTAAATTATAAAGATTACTAAATATTCTTATAAAATTATAATATAATTACATTATTATTAATAATTTATATCAAATAATAAACTGTTTATTAATCTTTATTTATTTTTAATGACACGACAAAAATTTTGCTAACTTTTAAGCTAAATGTGATCAAAGAATTAAATTAACAGTTTATTGTTTGATTGGATTTATGGCTTAGATCTTATAAATATGTAATTATTATTATTATTATTAATTTTCATTTATAACTATATTTATTTAATAGTAAAATTTTACAATTAATTCGAAGAGAATAGAATAATCTAGTTTTAAATAAAATATATAAACAATTATTATGATATAATGTATATACAATATATATGGTATATATAAATATTTATATTAGTAATATTTATCATTAAAGCTTAGATTAAAAATATATTATTAGTTGTATATTAATAGTTATATAAATTTTGATAGGAATTGTAGTGTTAATTGAAGTTTTAGGACATCATTTCATTAAATGTATTTATAAATTATTGAAATTACTTAATAAAACTGATACAATTTATAGCTGACAATACAGTTATGAATATCATACATTGTGATGAAATGTTGTTAATATGCTTCTACTAATTACAAATTTTTAATTTATATTTAAGTAAATAGTCAATAAATAAACAATTTATTTATAAATGTAATTATTTATTGACTAAATTACTTTAAATTATAAATGATTAAGTTGGGCAAAAGTGCAGTCAATAATTATAGTAAGTTTACTATTTATTTTACATTTAGTCAATTTTAAATAATATAATAATTATAAATATTTATATATTTATAATACAAATTTAGCTTATAGCTCATTTAAGTATATTTATCTTCAAAACAATAGAATAAAAGTTTATAAAAAGTTGTCCATTGAGGCAAAATAAATATTATCTCAAATTAGTTTAATAAGTTTTTTGGGATGACTATTAAGTAAAAATATTTATAAAATAAATTATTAATAATCTCTCATATTATTTACATATAAATGAAGGAAATGTTCGGGAAATCGGGTTTAGAGAGTCACTGATATTCAGTTAATGTATTGATATTTAAAGAAAATATAATTGAATAAAGTATTCAATTACAACTCCAACACAATTAATATTTAAAAAATGATAAAAACTGGACAAATATTTTATTAAGATTTTTATATATTTCAATAGTAATATTAATGATTTGGATTATACTGTAATAAAATTATTATAATATAAAAGTTGATTAATGATTGATTACTTTGATTTTGAAAAATGCCTGATAAGCCATTTTATTACATTAAATAATATGAGATGTAATAAATTTTTATTAAAAGAAAATTTTTAAAACAATTGAATATCGAAACAAATGTTGATATAATGTCTATAAAGATAAAGCAATTGATAAGTTTAAGGCCGACCCAACTCTATATCCATTTCCTCAATGGATTTGGACATTCATTCCATTTTCGAGACATTTTTAAGGAGTAATTATCAAAATTAAGATAATTTACAAAACAATGTGATCACAGTTTTGCCAAATGCTTTAAAATCCATTAAAATTGTATATATTGTAAACATTAAAAATATATATATTATTTACACAGAATATTCTATATACATACATATTTATAAATATATAAATAGAATAAAGCTCCCTTTATATAATATATATCTATTATAAATTTCTAATAAAAATATTAATCAACTGAGAAAATTCATAAAATATCTGTATATTTACTATAATTATACAAAATCTTTTTTTTTCACTGCAATTGTTCCCACAATGCCTTCAATCCCAAACCATATCCTTATCCAATCATTCTGATAATTATTAGCAAAATTTATATCAATTTATTTTAATTTTCAATGATTTATCTATTCTGTGTTATAAATTATAGTAAATAATTTAATAGTTCAAAATCTGAATTAATTTATAAATAATTAAAAATAAAATTTTAATAATTAAAATCAAAATAAAAAATAACAATTAAGTAAAAACATTTATACTCAAAATTAAATTAAATTTATAATATAATAAATTAAATAGTTAATTGATAAATAAAATAATGAGAAAATTATAAAAATTATTATAAAATTTTGTTTATGTTAATTAAAATATATTATTTATTTATAAGTTTCATTTCACTTAACTCAAAGTCAAAAAATATTGTATATTGTAAATAAAACAACATATCATTCAAATCACTATTTAAATATATTATATTATTTATTTAAAAATATTTATTGCCGCTTAAATTTTTCAGTTTTGATAACTATTATTATATAAATAAAAAACAATCTATTATAAAAATTGATAAAGAATTTTTACAATTGTAAACACAAAACTATTATAAATTTAGTTTATAAAAAATAAAGTTATTTGTTATTATATAAAATTATTAAGAAAAACAAAAGTAATAAAATTTTGGACATAAATCACAAAACTATAATAATTAATATTCAAGTTATCATATAATACTTAATAAAAAAATAAATGATAACTTAATTAATATTGAGTTAAATTTATTTATAATTATAAAACTTAAGTAATCATTATTTAATTAAGAAATATTTATATTATTAAATAAATTAAACCAAAAGCATAATTATTATGTATTATTAAATTCATTTCTTTTGTTATTAAATCCACATTTGATTGTATTTAATATTGAATTTAAAACCTAAATAAATTTATTTAAACAAATCAATGTTTTATTTATTATATATATATATTTAGCATATATAATAATTATTAATTTAATTACTATATCATCTAATTTACAATAAGTTTGCTTTATTAGTAATATTTAGCAATACATAATATATATTATATTTACCAATTGTTTCACTATATGATAAGTTTAGTTTTTTCATTAGTTGATAATATTGTTGTTTTTACTTAAAAATGAATAGACGGGACAAACAACATTACATTATAAGCATATTATATTAAATAAAAATAAATTTTACTTTAAATCTTTATAAATATATTAATATGTAAAACAAATATATGATGAAAATCAAATTAAAATTAAATATTGATATAACCAATAATGTAATTGTGTATAAAAGGTAAAAGCATGCAATAAACACAATGGTTTTTTTATTTTACACAAATCTATAAAAAGGCATAAATAAAGTAAATAACTGACAAATTTTAAAATAATAAATGAATTAAAAGTATAAATAGAATCAAGAATTAAAATCCGTATATATTTTAAGATTTTTTACACTTTTTCTCACAACTATTGTCTTCAAAATAGTTTAATTTTCGTTTGCAAAGCTTTTCTTCAACTTTTTGAACAAGTGGTAAGTCATTGGTGTGATTATTGTCAATCAATTGAGATATATGTGAGGCAGTGGTCGGCTGTTTCTCTTCAATTGGTTTAAATACTTCGGGAACAAGAAGTTGTTGGCCTTCAATAACCCCATCATTACAACGACAAGTATTGGGTTTAACATTTGAAGTGGGCGTCGATCCGGAAGGAGAAGTTGACCGCCAGTATTGTAGTTCAGTCTTACATTTGCTAAGCTCTTCCAAAACGGCACTTAACTTGCGGTTAGTTGTCTCAAATTTTTTGTCATATTCATCAAAACGACTTCTCATATTATTAGTCACTCTTTGTTGTTGTGACCATCTCTTCTTCGCCAACGTAACCTCACGCTTAAGAGCTTGAATTTGATTATTATTTCTTTTGATTGTCATCTCAGCAGCTCTTAAACGTTTCTTTAATGCAGTTGTTTCCGAATTTTTCACGATATATGTTGACGACGACGACGACGAAGACATTTGATTGCTATTTGTTTTAAACGTTTTCTTGCGATTTGAATTATGTATATCTTTAGTTGTGTTATCCATCAGTGAAAGCTGTGTTTGTGGAGAACCAGTAAGAGTTGGCGAGTAATCGAGCAAATAGTCGGCGACACCAAAGTAATTGATCTCAGGAAGAGTTGGTTCGATGTGCTCTTTAAAGTACTCCATAGCCATAGTCGACAAATCAAACAACTCATCCGTCACTTTATAGGCCCGCGAAAGGACTGGAGTTATGCGAACATAGCGTATAATTCGGTGGACTTCATCTAAGATCTCACCCGAAAAGAAACAGCAATGCATTCGCTCGATATGTTTGCTGAAAGTCATCTGAAGAAGTGTTAGTCTCATATGCAACGTCTCAATGATGTCTGACTCGCGGGCCAACGGGTGCTTACGTCTGGCCGACTCTCGGCGCGGCATTTGGCTCTTAATTGTCTGAAATCGCTGTTGAGTGTAATTTCGTAGTTTCTGAAACTCTCTATAAAACATCAATCACACCATTAGTTATCTTTTAAAAACCATCCAATTATTCAAATCTTTTAATACCTATTGAGTACTTGACTGCCAATCTCATTGAATCGACGACAAACCTATTTATTCATATATATAACATCACAATTAGTACATCCATCACAATCAACAACAGTCATCAACAATCAACTAATTGGTATCAATACATACAACACGATTCTTAGCGATGTCTGTAAACGATATCAAATTGAATATCTTTGTTATGATTTCATTTGGCAAATCAACTAATGATAATCCACTACTTTTATGACCATCGCTGGCCATCACTTCCTTTGAATCCATTGCCATCAACGCCACAAACCACTCAACCAATTATATAACAACCGATATATCATTCAATTGATTGCATTGTTTGCAAACATTACTACAAATACATTGGCGTTGAAATGTCCGCTGAAGACAAAGTCATACCAATGAAGACAATCACTTAATTAGTGATTAAATCAATGACACAAATGTCACTTCAGTTTGCTTTTCACTAAAACCTCTAATAATTATTGTATGAAATTATACCTTAAAAGAGCACTCATTTACAGTCAATACTCTATAATATCAATGCTTTTATTTAATACTCACTTCTAATACTTTATCCAAAAGTTTATACAAACTGATAGTTAGTTATTAAATAATTAATTTATTTTATTTTTAATTTAGTTTACAATAAATGCAAACAAATATGAAAAGTCATACAATTGTATGAAATGAGACATCAATTAGTTTTGACTGTAATAGTGATAAAGTGGTCACTTGTGGTCCAATAGCGTCATTGAGATGAGTGTCGCCATCAGTGGTGACAATACTAAGCAATTGATTATTATTTTCAATTCAATTATCATTACAATTGAAATTCAATACAATTAAAGCATAGACTCATTGAATAAACAATACAATTGACATGATTTACAATTAATACAATCAATGGTTAATCATTACATAAGATATGACAATATATATCAAATGTGTGACCAAATGGTGTGTCTCTTAACCGAAGAGTGTCTCTGTTTGGATGCAAACAAAGCGTTGAGTAATCAATGAATTGATTTGTTAGTCAAAGCAAAGCACAGACTCACTGAGCGATCGTTTCCCGGCTTTTAGACATTCAATTGGTTTCATACTATTTGTCACATTATTTGGTCCAACTTTATCAACAACTCGTCTAATAAATACATATTACAAGATGTCAAACATTGAAGAAGAGACAGACATGAATGAGCCCAATGAAGAAGTAGAAGATGTCAACAACAAACAAGAGGAAGAGGAAGAAATTGGTAACAATGAATGTCAACAACTGTTTTATTAACATATTTTTACACAAATTTGTTTATTTATCTTCAGATGAATCAAAGAGTGCAACTCCTGCTGAGTCAGAGGTCGGTGAAAATTTGGTTCAATTGATATCATCTCAAGACTTTAACGCTACTTTAACTGAAGACAGATCTAAACGATTTGATTATCTTCTGAAACAAACAGAAATATTTTCACATTTTATGACATCTGGTGCACATCCGACCACTCACTCTGCGGTACCCAAAGCCAAACCGGGTCGCAAACCAAAGATTAAATCACAGGAACCGGAATCAGAATCATCACAAAAGCAGAAGTCAGGCGATGTCGGCGATCACAGACATCGTAAGACCGAACAAGAAGAGGATGAAGAGTTGTTAACCGCATCCAAGAAAGCACTCAATTTTTTTCGTTTTGAAGAGAGTCCCAGTTATATAAAAGGCGGTGAAATGAGAGACTATCAGGTCAGAGGTCTTAATTGGATGATTAGTCTCTATGAGAATGGAATCAATGGTATTCTGGCCGATGAAATGGGTTTAGGAAAGACATTACAGACAATCAGTTTATTAGGTTATATGAAGAATTACAAGAGTATTCTCGGACCTCATATGGTGATCGCACCGAAGTCTACACTCACTAATTGGATGAATGAAGTAAAGCGTTGGTGTCCATCACTTAAAGCTGTCTGTCTTATTGGTGATCAACAAAGCAGAGCAGCACTGGTTAGAGATGTATTATTAGGGACACCAAATGAATGGGATGTATGTATCACTTCTTATGAGATGATCATTCGTGAGAAAGCAGTACTCAAGAAGTTTAACTGGAGATATATAGTGATAGATGAGGCGCATCGCATCAAAAACGAAAAGAGCAAACTCTCTGAGATTATTAGGGAATTCAAGTCAACGAATCGTCTATTACTTACGGGAACTCCTCTTCAAAATAATTTACATGAATTGTGGGCTTTACTAAACTTTCTTCTTCCCGATGTTTTTAATTCATCAGAAGATTTTGATTCTTGGTTTAACACTAATAACTGTTTGATTGGCGATAATTCTCTCGTCGAAAGATTACATGGAGTTCTTAGACCTTTTTTATTACGACGTCTTAAAAGTGATGTCGAAAAGAAATTGAAGCCAAAAAAAGAAACGAAAATTTATCTCGGATTAAGTCGTATGCAAAGAGAATGGTATACAAAAATTTTGATGAAAGACATTGATATTGTCAACGGCGCCGGAAAGATGGATAAAATGCGTTTACTTAACATTTTAATGCAATTAAGAAAGTGTGCGAATCATCCGTATTTGTTTGATGGCGCAGAACCCGGTCCTCCATATACTACAGATAAGCATTTGGTGGAAAACTCCGGTAAGATGGTTATTCTCGACAAACTATTGATGCGACTTCAAGAAGAAGACAGTCGAGTACTTATATTTAGTCAAATGACGCGAATGCTTGATATTTTGGAAGATTATTCATTTTGGAGGGGATATAACTATTGCCGATTAGATGGACAAACATCTCATGAAGAAAGAGAGCGTCAAATTTATGAGTTTAATAAACCCGATTCCGAGAAGTTTTTGTTTATGTTAAGTACTAGAGCTGGAGGTTTAGGTATCAATTTGGCCACCGCTGATGTTGTCATACTATACGATTCAGATTGGAATCCTCAGGTGGATCTTCAGGCACAAGACAGAGCTCACAGAATCGGACAAAAGAAAGTGGTTCGAGTGTTTCGATTAATTACTGATAATACTGTCGAAGAAAGGATTGTTGAGAGGGCAGAGATGAAGCTTAAACTGGACACTGTTGTCATACAACAGGGAAGACTTGTTGACAGTGCGGGCAATAAACTTGGAAAAGACGAGATGTTAGGAATGATTAGACACGGAGCTGACCATATATTCGCATCTAAAGACAGTGAAATTACCGAAGAAGATATCGAAGCTATACTCGAAAATGGAGAGAAAAAGACTGAACAAATAAAGAAGAAATTGGACGAAATGGGCGAAAGTAATCTAAGAAACTTTACACTCGATACGGGAGAGTCGAGTGTCTATAAGTTTGAAGGAGAGGACTATCGAGAAAAGCAGAAGTTGACACAATTAGCATGGATTGAACCACCAAAACGTGAACGTAAAGCTAACTATGCTGTTGACGCTTATTTCAGAGAAGCTTTACGTGTTAGTGAACCGCGTGCTCCAAAAGCTCCTCGTCCTCCAAAACAACCAAATGTTCAAGACTTTCAATTTTTTCCGCCACGACTTTTTGAACTTCTTGATAAAGAAATCTATTATTTCCGTAAAACTGTTGGCTATAAAGTTCCCAAAAATCCAGAGTTAGGTAATGAAGCGTCAAAAGTACAAAAAGAAGAACAGAGACTCATTGATGAAAGCGAATCGCTTACTGAAGACGAAATTACAGAAAAGGAGACACTATTACAGGAGGGCTTTACCACTTGGACCAGACGTGACTTCAATCAATTCATTAAAGCTAATGAAAAATATGGCAGAGACGACATGGACTCAATTTCTAAAGAAGTGGAGGGAAAGACTGTGGATGAAGTGATTGAATACGCAAATGTCTTTTGGGACAGATGTCATGAATTGACTGATTGCGACAGAATTATGGCTCAAATTGAAAAAGGAGAGCAAAGAATTCAAAGACGTCAAGACATCAAGAGTGCTCTCGACGCTAAAATGTCTCGATATAGGGCTCCCTTTCATCAGTTAAGGATAGCCTACGGAACAAATAAAGGCAAAAATTATACCGAAGAAGAGGACCGCTTCCTCGTCTGTATGCTTCATAAATTGGGTTTTGATAGAGAAATGGTTTACGACGAACTAAAGTCTGGTATTAGAGGTGCCTCTCAGTTCCGCTTTGATTGGTTTATCAAAAGTCGTACCGCTTCTGAACTTCAGAGACGATGTAATACTTTGATTACACTAATTGAAAGAGAAAATCAAGAATTGGAAGAAAAAGAGAGACAAACCAAGAAAAAGCCCGGACCTAAACCTGGACTAACCAGAGGACCCAATAAGAGACCGGCGCCCGTAGAGACCGGCAAACGCAAGAAAAAAAGATAAAACTGTTGATGACATGAATCAGACTTACTTACAATAATTAGTTAATCTCACAGATAATGCCAGTCTTTGTCACACAGTATTGAAATTCATATTTATTTATAAATTAAGTATTTAAATGACAACTATTTTTCTTGTTTGACATTCAAAAAGACTTGTAATGTTTTTCTATAAATAAATTATTCATCGCTTTTATACATCTTATATAAACTTTTGTTTTTTTTGTTACTCATATTTCTGTTATTTATAGTTAACATCTCATCTAAATCTCAAACATATTATATAATATCGTATTTTTTATATACAAAAACAAAAATTAAATTCAAATACAGATATAATTTATTTGATAGAGTTATCAATTATGATAAATGATAATCTAATACAAGTTTATTTAAATTATACTATTTTACTATTCAACAAAATCAAAAACATGATATTAAAATTGAAAAATATTTTTTTTAATTCAATTTATTATGAAATAAATAATAAAAATTTCAATTTAATGTTTAAGTATTGGTCACACTATTGGTTGTATTAATAATAATAATGTTTATGTTTTATGTTTAATGTTTGCATCAAAACCAAGCAATACATTATACAATACAATAATATTAATACATTTCTATACATTAAATACTAAACGTTACGATTTAAAGGGACTTCTTATATAACTTAATATTATTTATATATAAATCAAACGTTAGTTTTATTTGAAGGGTTCGACAAAATTGTTGTAACGATATATTAGAGTTGATTTGAATGTGAATTGCATTTGAAAGCAATCGACTGATAATATTGTTTGAGTGACTCATTGATAGTGCGATTGCATTGACTTTGAGTGACAATCAATACATAGAATCAAATAAAGAGTTGTTTTGTCATATAATTAATGATTTGTTGTTATTATTAGTAATTGAGTTAAATATCAAACAATAATGACTTCATTGTTAGCCATTCCTCTGAAGCGTTCATATGATGTGGATTTGGTTAAACCAATCAAAGAAGTGATTGATGGCACAAACTCTCCAAATGCCGATGACTTGAATCAAATCAAAGATAATGTGTTGTCTCTCAACAAAATGAGATCCAATTGTATCTCTAAGACATTGGATGTCAAACACGACGGATCCCTTGAAATGCTTGAAAAGTATGTTTTATTAAGTTTTAAGAAGTGATGTTTTATTTATAATATATATCATAATAATTAACCGGTTTTTGTATTTCAGATATTATGACCAATTGGTGTCATTGGAGGCGAAGTGTCCTCACATCGAGATATCATTCAAATGGAAGGATGCCTTTGAAAAGGGCAGTTCATTCTTCCTTTCTTCCAATACTCTAACCATTTCAAGCATTTCCTACGAAAAAGTTTGTATTTTGTTTAACATCGGCGCCATTCAGAGCCATTTGGGAGTAAGTCATGTCAGTGAAGCCATCAGTAATGATAACGCTTTGAAACTATCGGCCAAATACTTTGCTTCTGCGGCCGGAGTTTTTCAGGCACTCAAACATACAGCCAGTTCTGCCGTCGGGTCACATGATTTATCAGTGGATTTACAGAACGAAGTCTTAAATATTTTGCAAAATTTAATGTTAGCTCAAAGTCAAGAGACATTCTTCTTAAAGGCTACTAATGATAATATGAAAGAAGCGATTATTGCAAAGATTGCCTTTCAATGTGAAGAGTATTATGCAGATGTGATGAAACAGATCCAAGTCGTTAAATTCAATGCAGACAAGGAATGGCTTTCCATCGTTAGTGTTAAACAAGCGGTCTTTCACGGAATCGCTGAATATTATCAATCTATTGTTAGCCAACAAAATAAGGAATTTGGAGAACAAATATCGCGTTTACAGAAAGCTATTGAATGTTTTAAAGGCGCCGAAAGTCGAGGAGGAGTTCCTTTGAACGCTATATTTAGAGATTATCTCAACAAATGTAACATTGCTTTGGAAGAGGCAAAGAAAGACAATGATTTCATATATCACGCGAAAATACCCGATTATAAGTCTCTTCAAACCATTGGTAGAGCACAGTTAGCTAAACCTGCAGTACTGCCCAACAAATTTTTCCCCAATATTCCCGATATGTTCGAGAAATTATTACCACTCGGAATACAACAAGCGGTCAATAAATTAGAGCTTAAGAAGCAAGAGGTAGTAAATACAGAAGTGGCGTCACTTCGGGAAATGACACAAACAATGAATGCAATTCTTGTTTCACTTAATCTTCCGGCGGCTATTGAAGACTCGTCTGGAAGCGATGTTCCCAAGTCTTTGATAGACAAATCAAGTGCAGTAAGAGCTAAGGGAGGCATTGAAATGATCCAAAAATTGATAAATGAATTGCCAGAACTATTGCAAAGAAATAAAGAAATTTTAGATGAAAACGAAAGAGCACTTAATGTTGAAGAAGAGTCAGATGACAATTTGAGGACACAGTTTAAGGAACGATGGACTCGGACTCCATCGAGTAAATTGAATCAGAATTGGAAGGAACACATCGCGAAGTATAGAAGTATTCTTCAGAATGCCATTGAAGCCGATAATAAAGTTAAGCAAAAATTTTCAGCGCATTACCAAAAAATGCAATTACTTTCATCGGGTTCTCCCAATACTTTGGCAAATGCTATTCCTTCGGGATCAGGCAGTGGCTCATCCTTTCAAAATCATCCGGTTGTGTCTAAATTAAAAACTTTGATGTCAAACGTAGAAGTGATTAAAAATGAAAGAGAAGTATTAGAGTCGGAAATTAAGAATATGACGTTCAATGACATGAAGAATAAGTTCTTAACAGCACTTTCTAGTGATGGCGCTATCAATGAATTGGCTTTAAGTACTGAAGCATTGGGTGAGGCCTATGGACCCATTCAAAAGCAGATTCGCGAAAGTAAAGAAAGACAGGAAACCTTAGTTTCAGATATTCAGAGTCTTCACAATGAGTTTATTCAACTTAAAGGAAGCCAATCGAGTGCTTCATCTGAAAGAGAAGCCTTTTTGACTGAATTAGCCGCCGCTTATGACGCCTATATGGAGTTGTTGTCTAATCTTGAAGAGGGAACCAAATTCTATAATGATTTGACACAACTTTTGGTTAATCTTCAGAACAAAATTGAAGACTTTTGTTTTGCAAGAAAAGCAGAAAGAGAAGAGCTCTGTAAGGATCTACAAAATGAAATCGTGTCACGACCTAATCCGCCAACACTTCCAGCACCTGCTTATCATTCTGAAGAACAAGCGAGACCTCCACGACCTCCTCCCCCCACAAGCGCACCAACAGCTCCACAATCTATGCCCACTCAGCCACCAGTTCTACCTTTCAATCAACCCCAAGCCTATAACCCGGCTTCATATCAACCACAGCAATACTATTATCCTCCACCGCCACTTCCATCAGGTTTTAATCCATATGCAGTGCCACAACAACAACAGCCACAACAACAGCAGATGCCTTATCCACAGAGTTTGTCATAATTTAAAATTATTGTTTATATATTTGTATAACAAATTGCTAATAATTTATATTTAATGATTTTTATTATTCAAACAGTGCAATATCCGGTACAACCGACAACATATGGATATCCGCCAAACACTGGTTATGCCCAATACCCTTATCCACCAAATCAATGAATTGATTATTATATTTAACTGTTTAATAATATTTCTATTTTGATATAATTCAATATTAATAGTTTAATTATATAAATAAATTATTTTTAAAAATTTGATTTGATTAACTACATGAAGCAAATTGTTAATTTAAATTCGAAATATTTTAATTTTAATAATAATTATTATACAAAATTGAAGAGTATTTTTAATTATTAAAGCTAAAAAATTTATTAAATTAAATAAATAATAAATAAGTTAAGTATTGGCACAATTTACTTATATTTATAGTTATAGAAAGACTTGAAAAAATTATAAAATGTTTAGCTATTGTCATAAAGTTTTCATAACATTATCGTAAAGTTGTGGTAAATTAGTTTCATTAAAATGTTTTTGTTTGGCCATTGAATCATAATTTGGTGGAATTCCAGATAATGTTTTCGTATGCCAAACGAGAATCTAATTTAATAATAAATATAACAATAAAAATAGTTAGAAATACAATCAAATTATTTTATAATTGTTGTGATTAATGATTGCTTACTTGAGTGCAATTATCGGCTTTGGGTTCGATATCATCCAATTGAATGCCAAGACTTTTGATGAAATAGTCCTCTTCATAACCAACTTTATAAGGCATCGTTGCCTTTGATTTGTTTAGGAAAAGCTGCAAATTGACAGCAAAGCCGGCCATATCTACAGCATATTTGCGGCGATTTATAAATGGGTCGTGAAATCCAATTATTTTTGCCGTTTTATTGCTGACTATAGGTGTCGAAAGACCTGTTTTAGCGATGAGTCCGACCGGAAACATTGATACCTTCTTTGTGAATCTCATTTCTTCAAAAATCCTAATATCATAAGCATTGTCGTCGTCGGCAAAGTAGATAACCCCTTCTTGACTGGTGTTTGTGTACTTTTGCCGTAAGTATTGCAATGCTTTGAGTCGATTAGAGACTCCGCGACCACTTCTTTTGTCCAAATGAGTGACCGGTCGCGGACCCAACAAATGCACTGATGGTATGTTTGTCCGTTTGAGCAAATTTGACACTTGTCTGAGTTTATTATAATAGGATTATTAATAGTTTATTAAATATAAAATTATATTAATTACTACAAAATTTCTAACTTTCATTATATATCTAACACTTACTGAGATTTTGTTTGTGAATCTTCAGTAACGATCCAAAAGATATCTTTGACTAATAGAAGTGTTTGCGAAAGTCTAGTCATATCTGGCATTTGTGTTGGTCTCGAATAAGTCGGAGTTATGACAAAAATAACTGGTCTTTCAATTTTTGATTTCATTTCTTCTATATTTATAGAGTCTGTTGTCGTTTCGGTTATATCTTCAGGACTAACATTATCTCTTCTAACAGTCTGGACATTGTTATCACACATATCACAGTTACATTTGCAACCATCCCTTATGGAGACATCGTTATCATTGTCTAAGTTAGTCAACTGGGATACCATTTGGTCCATATTATTAGTGGACAACAATTCTCTATTTTTAACTTCATTTTCATTGTTTTGTAATGAATTCTTTGAAAAATCTATAATAAAATTAATTTATTTTCAAGGATTTCTCAATTTTGACGCTTAGTTTTTACCATAAATTCATTGAATTTCATGTTTTTGTGTAAAACTTGTAATTAATATTATATTATATTCAATGCAATCTTACATACAATAAATCACTAAAAAAATGACGCAAACCTTTTACTAGTTTATCACAATTAAACAATTAAGTGTTAACAGATAACAGATAACTATTGAATAATATAATGATTACTTTTTCAATATACAGTATTAATGTGTTAAGTTTTTATAATACAATAGTTTACCATATTTCTAATAATTCTAAATTTAATTACAATTTAAATATTATAATTTAAAAATATTTAATTTATTTAATAAAAAAAATATTTTATACTGAATGGTACATAATATTAATAATAACTTATATTATTTATATTTATGTAATTTATATTTAAATATATTTATTTAACACACGAAATACCGATTAAAAGTTAATAATAATAAAACACTTTTAAATCGTATAATATTTACTAATTCAATACATATTAATCAATATTTTTCTAACCCTGACATCAATTGAAGTAAATTAATGAATTGAAAGTCAATACTTCTCTAATAATATATCATTTGTTTAACTATTATTGTAATATAATAATAATATTTTATCCGTTGGTTTTCACACATCTTAAAAATTAAAAATTAAAATTTTCAATAATTTTTATTATTTTATTTCTATATATTAGAGGTTTTTCATAATTTTTTCATTAAAGGCAATTATAGTATTTTAGTTTTAAAATAAATTTTAGTGTTTTATAAATGCAAACAAAATAAAATTCATATACAAACCTGTGGTTAATGTGAGAAATGCAATGAATGACATAAACAATACAATTAATATAATTGATGCAAATCTTCTGTTCATTTTTACTCTTCAAACAATTAGACAATACTTATGCTTACAATTAATTTGAAAGCAAATCCGTAACCATTTAAAGGCTTTATAAAAAATTTTAAAAATATTTAAAAAGAGTTTATTATTTAAATTCTTCGAAATTATTAAAGTATTTAAAAAGTAATATATTATATATAATAATCATTGCCTGATAATTGTGAGCACATGTATATAATAAAAGTCTAAATTATAAAATGCTTCAACAATTTTGATATAACATCGTTCATAATAATAATAAATTTTAGATTTATATTATCAAAGAATAAATAAATAATAAAACTTAGAATTTACTTATATACAGTATATTTATATAATTTTTGCAATAAATATATTTATATAAATTATATATATATATATACAGTATATATATTGAAAAGTGAGGCAATAAAAAGTATGTGAGTTATGACAACAATTGCGTGAATATTAAGCCAAAGTAAGGCAAAAGTGTTATTATATTTTGCAATGAGTTGAAGCATACCTGATGGCCATTGCATTGTTTGCTATCTCTCATCAGCACTTGTATTATATGACTGAATCACTATCTGTTTTCAATATTAACTCTCATTTACCATAAGACTGACTGCTTTTTATGGTTTCCACTTAGGCTTTGCTTAGAAATTGAGAGATCACTGACTTTGTAGGCACTCATACTTGTTGTACAACTTTTTTGTACATTTCTGTCAAATATTGTTTCACTCGATTGTAGCAAAACTTGATTTTACTAAATAACTTAACCAAAGATATTATGTTTTTCTATTCTCTCTCTTTCTCTCATCAAATATAAGTCTTAAAATCAATCGACAGCTTTTCAATGGCAATGATTCCGGTAAATACATTGCTTGTATACTATAGTAAACATTAAACACTTCCGTTTAAGTGGTATTTCTCAAGTATTAACCACTACTTAAGTCTTTATTTATTTTTTCTAAATTTGTTAAAATCATACGTAATAACTATTATATTACATGTGTATCTCTGTTTACGCTAAATGATACAACAATTATTGCCATATATATATTATACATATGTAATATATACTATGCCTTTATTATCTATCATTAGTATATTTAAAGCGGAATTCAGTAAAAAAATTAATAAGTAATAAAATTTATAATTATCTTAAACAACTACTTCAAAATAATTTTTTGAAATTATATATTAATAGTATTAACGATAGTATACTATACTAGTACTACAATACTTTAATTGTCGGCCTTAAGTGTTAAAAATATACAAAATATATTAATACACGATATGAATAATAATCGTATTGTTTATTATATTCTATTATTGTATTCAATAAATTTAAAAATCATATTATTATTTTTGTTAACCTTACACACACACACACACACACACACACACACACACACACACACACACACACACACAACACATTTAATGAAAAAAATCATGTTTTAGAAAATTAATATTTATTAATTTTATTAAAATAAATAATTTGTTTAACTTAAATCTATAATAAAATACCATTAAAATAATAATTAAAAATAAATAAATGTAATAAACTATGAATATGAGAACTGGGATCTGGGTGCCGGTGCCGGCATTATATGTTGGGGAGAGTATATCATTTCACGCGTCGAAAATTCCGTCTCATTATATATGCTATCGTTTACTGTATTTTTCTGGTTATAAATAAACAAATATAAAAACAAATAAATAATTTCATTAATATACTTAACAGAGAACTTACCGATGAATATCCGTGAGTTGAGGAAGCGGTACGAGATTTAGGCCGAAGAGAGCGACTGTATTGTCGCGATTCATAAGCGCACAGATCGTCATTGAGTAAAGTACCCGAAGAAGAGACCCGATTAGGAGTGGCGTAAACGTGATTCATGTGGTGCTGACTATGACTAGAAGACATTTGTTCCGGATTCTGGAAATTTACACCATTTTAGTAAAAATAAATCAATTTATTAATATTATTATAAATGCTTTTTATACCACATAATAATTTGTTGTATATGTGGGATTGGTAGCCATGGCTTCGGCTATTTGAGCCCATCTCATGCGGTCATCAATTGTCAATCGGTAAGCAGTGGCCGCTTGTTTGTTAACATAGCTTTTTAAATATATTTATAATTTATTTTCAGTATTGTTTATTATTAGTAAATTTTCAAACTTTTGATAATCATATGAAAACAATTACCTAAATGTATGACCACTTGCGGCACTCATTGCTTCCATTTTTTGCTGCTCTTTCTTCCAGCGCTGACTGTTTGGTTAAAAAAGTTAAAAAATATAAATTTAAAGTTATTGTAGAGTATAATGACTTATAATGAGTGAACGCATGACTTACTTCCACATATAAAGACATAAAAATGTAATAATGATTATAATGAGTGCCGCAACAGATCCTCCCAACGCAACCCCCAATACTTCTGCATCGATGTCACACTTGGATCCAATAAAGTTTGCCTTACATTTGCACTCTCGCTGACCATTCACTATAAAGCACTCGCCTTTATTAGAGCAGTATTGTGGTGAACATGTTTGGCATATACGACCCGATTTGAGTTTATCATTAATAAATTTGTCTTCATATCCCTGTTCACATTCACACCTAAACGTTCCGAAATCATTGAAACATTTTGCATGTTTTGAACAGTCGTTTAGTTCATTATTTGAACACTCATTCAAGTCATCGACTCTCGGAATAGCATTGAGACTGCCGTCGACCCACAGCTGACTATCGCCAATGTTATTGTTGCGGACGGCTATAACACGGGTCAGGTCTTGTTGGACATACCTTTTGATGGATGGATTAGAAGTGGCATTATTTAGCTCTAAGTTAATGCTGGCGTTTATTATAGTTTTTCCGGCGACTGAATAAAACCGATTTATTTTAGTTCCCAAATAAACTTTACTTAATTTTGACGCCAAAAATATAGAGTTAATCGCTTGAAGGCTTTCATACTCTAAATACTGATATTCTTCAGTGTCTGTGTTAAGTAAATTGCGATTAAATACAAGTTTTTTATCAGCCATTCGGTCGACTTTAAGAGATAGAGCCAATGCAATGATGGGAACGCATGGAGTTCTCGCTTGACTTCGGGAATAGCCTGGTCTGCACTGACACGAACTCAACCCTAATTCAGTCAAACACTTCTCGTTGAGCGCCGCCTCACACGTCGAGTCGTCGCCAACAATACACGTATCAATTCTAACTATCGGTACATTAGGACGGGGTCTAAATGGAGGTCTTCTAACAATTAGTGGTTTTGTTTGAGCTGTCTGTCCATTGGGTTGCAAAATACCCTTTTTATCACCTCCGCTATCTTCTCCACTAACCATTACTCCTGAACCCACTTGCAAGGTTGGTGTCTTAGAATTCACTGTATTAGCTCCTGGATGGCGATTAGATGTATTTGGTCTTCCGGGACCAACATGAGGTTTCACTTCATCCATTTCTACGGGAACTACAATTGGTTTGCCAACAGCTGTTACTGTATTTTTAGAAGTGGTTGACATCTCAGCTGATCCTAAAAGTGTTATAATATCTTCAGAACTACTAGTAAATGAAGAAGTAATAGTTTTGTAATTTGTTTTATGAGCTGGTCTTCCGTACACTATTTCTACGTCATCTTTACTTATATTTTGTAATGAATTATTTAAAACTGAATTAATTGATGTGTTGAGGGTTTGTGTCGGTGTTATTATTGTCGATAAAACACTTTCACTGGACATATGTGTTAATGTATTTGAAACTTTCGTATTCACGGGTGTCGGGTCTATAGTTGTCGATAAACTAGGTTTTGGACCAATTTGTTGTTTGACTACAACTTCAAAAACACTCGGTTCCTCTGGCATTGTGATAATTATTGGTTCATCTGTTGCCGATTCATAAGTTTTAGTATTGGAAGTGGAAGTGGCGACCGGAACCCAATCAGTGATAGGACCGGTTGGCAATGGGATTGGCGGTTGACTCGGTATTACAAATGAAGAAAACAATGTATCTGTTATATCTGTCGTTGAATTAACTGATTCGACAGTCGATAATGTTGTCAATGGTTTGGTCTTTGAAACACTCACTTCTAGTAAGTGTGAAGAAAGTGATGAAAATATGTTTGAATAATAAGAATTTGCACGAATAAAGTCTTGAATATTTGAAGGGTTTGCCAAAATCTTATCCGTAAATATGGGTCGAGAGTTAATTACAGAATTGGTTTTATCTTTAATTTTATCACTGGATTGTGTTGTTTGTATTTTCGGTAGATTTTTCAATACCATCATATCTTTCTCATCTTTTATGTGTGGTTTTATTAAACCTAATAAAAAGCTAACATCACTTTCAGGTATATTAAATGGAGGTTTAGTTGGCCCTATGTTTAATGGTAGTGGTAATCGTGACAACTGTGAGGGAGGAAATGGCAGCGCAATACCGGCCGGTCTTCCCGGTCCTATCAAAACATTTGGTGGAACTACATTAGGCATTTGATTTCCCAATGGATTAATAAGCGGCACTTTAGGTGGTCCGCGGTTATTGATACGTGTGGCCGATAATAAGTCAGGTCTAAATGGCCCCAATGGTTGTAATTTGTTTTGAGGTCGCGGTAACTTAACATTACCACCGATAAGCTGCAAAATGCCGCTAATTATATCATCCATCGATGGATTAGCATTTGTTCGTCTTTTTTCACCACTTTCTGTCGTTTGATTTGTCAAATGTATAGAATTTATTGGATTCGAAGTTATTGAAGAACTGTGTGTCTCTATTCTCGATGATATGTCAGAGGAATTCAAAGATATGTTCGAAGATATTATAGGATATATTGAAGAAAAGGAAGAAGAAACTGAATTTAATTGTGGATCAAATTGTTTTTCTTCATTGTTGTCTAATTTTGAATCAATGCTTTGGTTATAAAAATAACTTTTGCTGTCATTATTACTACTAATTGTCCCAAAAGTTGTTACATCAATGTCTTGTTTGCTGAAATCATTTGTGCCTAAAATATATTGTGTATATAAAGTTATGTTTATACAATACAATACTAAATACTATATATGATTAACGTGTATGTTATACTGTCTTATTATATATTATTGATATAAGTGTACATTATATTCAATACAATTGTTGTTATTAGTTAATTGAGTAACAAATATAGCACTTAAAAGTCGAGTGAATCTCAATGAATGACCTAAAATTGCAATTCTTATACATTCTCTGAAAACATTTTTCAATACAAATCATAATAGTAAGTGAATCTCAACTATAAGCTTAATAAGTGATATATCATTATATTTCATATAATATATCCGGGTCGCCTAAATAGTCAACCAACCTAAACATACATACATTATTATATTTAAGATTCTCTCTTTTAATACTACTGTATTATCATATCAATGATGACATTATTGAATATTTTACTAAATTTATCTCATTAATTAAATTTACAATACAGTTAAACAGTGACTGTAAGTTATAAATATACTATATATATATATATATATATATATATATATATTAAATTTAAATTATATATTAAGTTATACAGTAATGTGAAATTATAATATTGCAAACATTACTAGTCTATTATGTAAAGAACAAATAGATAACAACTATTCTTTCTATAAAACAATTATAGAATTTTAGTTTTGTTTGTTTTCTATGATAAACCTAAATAACAAAATTAACTTTAAAAAGTAAGTTGTGATTTAAAATATCAATTATTTCCTAATAAAATTGTGATTTACTTGTAAATATAGTATCAATAAATTCGATAAAAACGAAATTTTCACTAAAATAGTTTTATTTTTTAATATAAAGTTATGCATTGAAACGATTGACTAGAAGCCAATGAACTGGTATACCATAGACTGTGTTTACAATAATAAATAACTATATACTGAATACACACTATGTATTAGAGAGTAAGTATTAAACAGGAGTTGGGGTCACATTCTGCAAAGGGTATGAAGTATTAGGTATGCCATTGCTATGACGGTATCACTTGTGGATACGGGTTAGCACTTAAATTACTTCAACATTCAATTTAAATATTTCATACAATATAATTAATTTATACATATAATTATTATATATATATATTTATTTATTTATTTCAGTAAAAATAATATTCTATAATTAAATCCATTTAACGAATGAATGTTTTTTCAATGTCAACATAATTAGCAAATAAAACTATTAAACAAATTATACACTGAATCATAATATTAGATAAATATATAGTGTATATAAAGATTGGCTATAAATTTAAGAAGTAGTCGTCGTGGGAGAAGTACTTGTTTCGGCTCAAAGCTCAGGGAAGTACTTATTGGACATACTTTGGGAGTAAGTGTTTAGCTAATGCTATGAGAAATTTCTATCAACTCTACACTAACCGGAAGAGTGAGGGAAGAGAGGATCAATTGAGTGATACAAAGATTTAGATAGGATTTTGATTGCATTATAACTTTTGTTATTAATATTTTTTGTTATTATAAAAACAATTAAATGATAATTTGTGAAACAATCTCTTACTTGTATTATCAGTAACAAGAGCTGAGGTTTGTGTAAAATCGGTTTGTATTGGCAAAGATAATAACGTCAAATCTTCTATTTGGCTCTTGTTGTTAATGGAAGGATCAGATGAGGTGATAATAACTAATGATAAAATAGTTATAAAGATGACTTCGAAGTTCAGTTTGTGGTCAAACATAATAATAATATATTAACAACTATAGTAACAATCAATAACAACAATAAGTAACACAAAATCAAGTATCAAAAAACACTGAAAAGACAGTAAATGTCTCCAAAAGATGTTTCAAAACCATTGAAATACGAGAGAAATACCAGAACTGTTTGGAAGTGCCGTCACAGCCATCACTTCAAAAGCAACAAAACTATGAAAACTATGAAAAAGTTGTTTTCGAGAGTCAAAGTCAGTAACAGTCAGATTGACAGCCAGTGTTGGGCCAAGTCTTCGGTCAGGTATGTCTCAGACAGACTGAGCCAAACTTGTGTGGACTCGTAGTTGAACTTCACTTTAAAAGATGATTTCACTGTTAATAAGTTATATAAGTTTTGTTGGAAAACAGGTTTGAGGTTATATTGGGTTAACATTATAGCAGTCATTGCGTTAACATTGCATTACTAGTGCTTTCAAAGCGCAGAATCCATACATTGATTGTTGACTTAAATTGCATTCATTTGAATGAATGTATCGCTGATTATAACAACAATTGATTTATTGTCTTAAAACCAATGTCTTCGTCATTGTTTTGATTCACTTTTTGTACTCTCATTGCTTGAGATTTGTGGCAAACAATGAATACATTTATACATAAATCAAACTCAAAGTCTAGTTTTGGTGCAATTGTTGAACAAAGACTGGAATCGTTGCCACAACTGTATGAATGCGTAAATCAAATGAAGACAAGTGATGACCACTTTATTGTCAAATATATACCAAATGGCGATAAATATGCGTTAAGACGAACCAACTTAGAGATGGTTAACAACATTGAGTTTGTGGTCAATGAAATCAAGTCGACGTGTCTTTTAAAACACAAGAATTTGCTGCCAATTCTGTGTTCGTTTGTTAGGGATTTCCAGTTGTGGACAATCACTCCTTTAGCAGCCTATGGATCTGCCAGTGATCTCTCAAAAACTAAAACATTTTCAGAGTTGGCCATTGCATTCATAGTAAGAGATGTATTATCCGCTTTAGTTTATTTACACAAACGCGGAATAATACACCGATCGGTCCGCGGATCTCATATTTTGGTGACAGCACCCGATGGTCGATGTCTTTTGTCGGGTTTAAAGCACTCAACCAGTTGTATGAATGACGGCAAATGGCAAACAGCAATACATGAATACCCGACAAATGCCAAACCAAATCTCATTTGGTTGGCTCCAGAAATACTCGAACAAAACCTTTTAGGCTATAATGCAAAGTCTGATATCTATAGTTTGGGAATAACTATCTGTGAATTGGCAAACACTTGTATCCCTTTCCAAGACGTCGAGTTAACTGAAATGCTTTTGGATAAACTGACCGCACATTACCCGCGACCACTAGACTCTACTTGTGATGAGATTCGTGATCTTGAAATTGATGGTTTATATTAATCATATTTTTTTTTTGTTAATACTGTTTTATTAATTTTTATTTCAATTATTAGAAATGAGTGAAGAGATTAGACACAAATACGAGATTTACAAAAACAGAACATTTAGTCCATCCTTTCATAAGTTTACTATTGATTGCTGTTTAAACTTTGATCCGTCGCTCAGGTATTTGTCAATTTGGGTTAAAATATATATTTTTTAATTAATAAATTGTTATCATTTTTTAATCATTGATAGACCGACTGCTTCTCAACTCTTGGACCACAGTTTTGTTAAACAAATTAAGAAGTCTTCGCATAATAACTTGTTATCATTACTTCCTAACGTTCAACCGGTAAATAGTATCCAAAATAATGTCAACGGAGATAGTATTTCATCGGAAGACAGCGTAAATAAAGTCAGTTCTTGTGATGAGTCAATCAATGATTGGATATTTTCTTAAATTTTTAAATTAATTTTGTCTGCATTTTAGTCTTGATTTGTAGTAATTGTTAATAAAAATTAAAATATTTTATACTATAAATAGTAAGTCAATACTATTGTATAATATCACAGTCGATATATTAAAAGTTAATTTGAATGCTGTCTTCATATAACGAGATGACACACATAATGGCGACTCCAATACTGATTCCGATCAGTTGAACAGTCAATTTAAAAGCTCGTGTCGTTCCTGACTGTGTCGGACAACAGTCCAATTGTGGTATCATATCGACTAAAGCAATGTATAGAAACATTCCAGCAATTGCTGCGCTCAACCACGAGTCGTTGATACGACCGACCAATACTCCGACAGTCATACCGATAAAACATAGAAAAGCCGATAATATGTTGTAAATTATTGCTCTCTTCACTGCCAGACCTGCTCTCAGCAATACAGCAAAGTCTCCGACTTCATGGGGCAATTCATGACACAAGACTGCAATTGTTGTACTCAGACCTGTATGCCATCAAACAACAAAAATTTATTAATACAATAATAAATATAAAAAAGTGGTCTTTACTCACCCCCACTGACACCACTACCAGCAAAGGCTACCCCAATAGCGATTCCATCGCAGAAATTGTGAAGACCATCACCTGTAATAACCGTATAGATAACTGATTTACTATGAGCTGCCTGTCTTTGATGGTGGTGATGATGGTCTGTCAATTCTATGACAAAACCCCTATCGGGATCAGGATGTGGGTATACGCGGGTCTCTCTATGACACTGTTCAGTCATTTGGATGTCATTGTGAGCAGAGCTTGCAGTGCCTGCCAAACAATCGCCTTCAATGGACTCTTTGGTTTTGATATTTTCTTCATTAGATGTGTTGCGGAGTTTCTCCAGTTCTGGAGTCGATTCGGAAGTCATGTTATGTTTCGATACTTTTTCTCCAACCGAATGGTTATAAGTTTCCAACTTTTTTCAAAACAAAATATCAGTCATTAAACTCTATTTCAATTCCAAATAATTTAAACTAACTTTAGATTTCTTATGAGATTTATTACAAAGATCTGACACTATTGTGACAACTCTTTCAAAGGCCAAGAAGATTATGATAGCCGACAAAGCCATTAATCCAAACCAGACCTGATCCGAGTGATGACCAGTTGGATGATCTTCAAGAGTGTCATCAGTATTGTTAGAATTGGTTCTATTAGTTATAGTTATTTCATTTGAGTGTTCGTGAGATGAAAATGCCTTCAAAGACAAAGAAAAGCTCAAGAATTTTCAAAAATATTTTTTTTTTGTGATCAATACATGTGGCAGAAGATGTAAGAGAGCGTCTCCAGTGAGCGTTCCGATGGCCAGTCCGACCAATAACTGGATGATATCGCTGTGATGGTTACGTTGAATCACTGGAATCAATAAAATACTGAGAAGACCGGTCGCACTGACCGCCACCACAGCCGCCGAAGCCATTAACCACTGATCCATTGCGTTCAACAATCAAATCAATAGATCTCAAGAGAGTTTTCAAAAGTTTTCAAAAGTCAATGTCCTTTCAATTGGTAGTGATTTGAATGTCAGTCAAAGGGCTCAAGAGTTTGGCTCTTCTGCACTGCTCTGCACTCAACACTCTTCACAACAATAACTATGAAAACGTGTTATCAATACTACTGTAGTGTTAAACGTGTTGATCACTAATACATTAATACAATACAACTGTAAGCAAACAATTACGACATTTGAGGACAAATTGTTATATCAATTGGTGGCCAATAATGGCATCAATTATTAGACACAACTCATTGGCCAATAGTGTCACAGATATGTTGTGATCTCATAGTTGTCTCAATGTATGACCATTTTGGGCATCAATTGATTGCAAAACAACAGTCACACACTCTCTCATCATTTATGACATCCATTCAACCAATGCTGACATCTTTTGAAGCATACATTCAAACATCAATTTTATATCATTTTTTAATTAACTTTTTTTTCCAAACTTTTTATTTTTGTTTATCACTTTTCCGATGTCCTGATTATCACAATTAAGTAAATAATTATTATATAAATACTACAATTGAAACAAAATATGGTAATAGATGTAAAAATTTGTCAAATTTGTAAAAATATGATACAAATAGTAAATGTCATCAAATAAATGGTCAATAGTCGGGAATCGGTGAACATATAATGCGAACCAAGTCTTCATATTTGATGTTTGCATTGATCGATGGATTAATGTTGGCCTCTCTGAGGACCGCATCAAACAACTTCTCGTCAATAGTTTCGCCGCAATCCATGAGATAATGTCTTATATGTCGGCCATTGATTGTTCCGTTTCTGTTGCCATCCGACGCTCTGAACGCATCCATAACTTCTTGAATGACTTTCTCTTTGACGGAATGGGTGTGCATTACATCCAGAAAGTCAGCAAATGATAACTTTCCGCCTATTAATCGACACAAACCCATACTTTGTAACTAATAAATGGTTTAACAGATTAACTCATTTGACAAACCTTTTGATTGAAAGTATTGTTTGAGTTCAGGCAGTGTTGGACTCATTGCCAGTGATCTCATGATTGTCTTGAGTTCATCAATGGTATTGATTGTTCCGTTCGAGTGAGTCATCAGATAAAAACAATCTCTGAACTCATCGATGTCTTCACCGCTAAAATATCGAGCCTTTCAATCAAAATAAGTATTAATTTGTTTGTTAATTATATTTAATATATTAAATGAATATTAAATGATAATCATTACCATTGATTACACCTATCATTCAAATCAATTCAAACACTATTAATATATTGTATTTATGTCAACATTTGCTTACATGTGTCCATCAATAACGTATTAATTCAATATATAATACAATACAGTATAATACTGTACTGCACTATACTGTAGACTCTATACTGTAGAGTCTATACATATAAAAAATAAATTAATCTTATATTATAACTGGTGGGTCTCTGTTTTGTTACATTTTAATAATTTAATATCTAAAAAATTGTACATGGTAATTTATTCAAAAAACTTCCAAAATACTCATGAAAGTATAGGATTTTTGTTTTTATACTTTTTATTTTTGTAACCAAAAAAAATATTGTTATAAATAAATAAAACATTATCATTAGTAATGCGAGTGGCCATTGACGGCTAATAATAAAAATGGCCAAAATTTCGCCGCAAAAGTTAATTTAATTAAAACAATATCAATGAAAAAAATGTTAAAATTTTTTTTAATTAAATTAATTAAATCCTATATAAGGCATAATATTTTAATCTATATTTGAATAAATTACCATGTACAGTTTTTGAGATATTTAATTTTTAAAATGTAACAAGGCTACGAGCCGCCCATTAGATATTAGTATATCTAATAATACATAAGTATAGTATTGTATTATTTTATTAAGCAATTAATTAATATAATTAAATAATTATAATACATTTGATAAATTTATATATTAAATATGCAAATCATAATTAATAAAATTTAAATTATAAAATAAACTGTTTAAATTTATTTCTATCACTTCAATATTTGTAGTTTTATCAAATGGTCTGTTAAATTACTATAAACATAAAAAATAAATTATTATGTAATTGTATTAGTTTTATAAACCAATAAATTTATTTAAGGATCTAATTAATTGTAATTTCAAGTTATGACATACAATAGATTTAAATGAAAATCATTGAAAACAAAAATAAATTAGAGTTTGTAGTCAACTGTTTTGTATATTAAACACAATTTCCTCTCTTTTGTCAATAATTATAAATATCAGTTTAATTTTAATTAATTAAATGAATGAATGGTTACCAATAAAAGTTAAGTACCGTATTGTCTCACATTAAACACTAGTTTATTATTGGCTTATTGTATGAAAAATAATTTTAAATACTTTATTTATAAATATACAATGTAAAAATAACTAACAATATATAAAACAAATTTAATAATAAATTAAATACAAATTATTTTTATTAAAAAATTAACTCCACAGTAATGTTGAATGTGTTATTCAGTTAACTTTAATCTATTTTAAGCTAATCTATCATTAATTTGTTTTAAACTATTACTTAAACACAACTTTAATAATTAAATTCAATTATTATATATATATATATATATATATATATAATAGATATAAATAATTATTTCAATATTTATAACAAAAATGCTGTTTTAAACTAATGTATAATCAAATGATATACATAATCTCATACTAATGTAAAGGTAAGTATACCTACATGTGATATGTTTTTATTTGTATCAATACTTTGGTTTACATTTAGGATTAACTTTCCAACAAATAACAAACTTTATAGTCTATGTTAAGGTCACTGTAAATTACAATCTGTATTACAGATTCTGTAATACTGTACATGAATATTGATAAAAGCAATACATTCAGTATAATCTAATTGATTGAAAATAGTTTCATTACTCTAAAAATATTATTGTAAATAAATCCAAAAAATATGTCATTATTTGTAATATCAAACGTTTACATAGTTTTTCATATTTAATATCAATGAATCCAAAGCTAAATTTAAATATAATTTAATTGATATATAGTATATACAGTACATTCAAATAATTATTTAATAGTTGCAGTAAACTAAACAAGATTTGTCACACCTTACTGTTAATATATTTGCTTTAAATATTTATATTAATATAACACAAAAATAAGTTTTAGACTATTATAAACTATTAGTTATACAAAACTAAATTATGTATGCGTTGAATGCAAATGCAAATTAAGTGTATATAATATGACCATTAATTTGCTTTTAATATATTTATTTTTATATTTTAATAGCCTTTTGTAATTAATATTTGTTGTTATTGTATCAGTTCATTATAAATTATTATTACACTATTAACGCAATTATTAATAATTTTATGATAAAGTAATAAAATTACTTTTTATAATATTTTCTTATATTTTAATTTTGACAAAAAAACAAAAGGTTTATTATTATAGTCTTACAGTATTATTAATATATTGTAAGTAGTTTTGATTTTATCTGTATTATTAATAATACTTTTTTTTAATGAAAGAAATATATTATTTAATTTTTAATTTGATTTCTAAAAATTAGTAAAAATTGATATTTTAAGGTGGGGTAACTCAAGACATACTTAATTTTATTAGTTATTCATATTAATTCATATTTCAGTTTTATTATTTAATAAAATTATATCTTTATTTTGTAATAACGATTACTTAAAAATAAAAATAATATGATACTCTTAATTAAAAAAAATGTAGACAAATATACAATTTTTAAAAGCAATATTTGTATTTCTATCGCAATAGACTTTAAATGATCCTAATATTTTGTATATATTTTATAAATTTTTATACAATTTGAATATTATTTTATTTTATAATTATATACAAACAAGACATAATAACAAACAAAACATTGATAATAAATTTATATTTATTATATTCATACAATCAACAATTTTTTTAAAGTTGAATTTTTATTTAAGAAAATAAAACAATACAAACATCTTTTATAACATTATTTCACAAAATATTAATAAATATAATATTAAAAAGTTATTAAATATACTATAATACAGTATAATAATAATATAATATTTAAAGTTGATATATATAAATATACTATAACCTATATTAAGTGAAACGTAGAAATAATGGCAGAAATCTAATGGCAAAACAAATGTGAATCCATCAATAGGTTGTCGACTCAACCATTTTGACGAGACTGACAGCCATGGGTTGTAACCCAACCCTCCCATAACTTTTCAAACTTCAATGATTGACATCACATACAACACATTATATACTATATTATATAAAGCTTTCCGTTAATTTAATGTATAATAAATGTTATTTAAATAATAATTTTACTATCGATTATAATTAATCTAAATCAATTTTATATTAAATTTAATAATACAATAATATTAATATCATAAATAAGATAATTTCTATAAAATTTAGATATTATAATTAAATTTTACACAATAACACTTAATTATCACAAGTGTTAAATTGCTAAATGAAGTTAAAAAGTATTTATAGATATATTAAATTTCTGTTTTTTTTTTGTTTATTTATTATAGTATCATAAAAAATAAATTAATCAAATCTAAATAACATGAATGATATTTATTTATATGTTTACAATGTATGTAAAATTTATAATACATAGTAATTGTTAAGTAAATGTTAATCATCCCAATGGGAGTAAAGATATTCATATTAAATCGATCGCCGCTTTAAGATATCCCCAGAGAGTACTATATTTAACTCATTGCCACTTAATCTCATTCTCACTAAATCTCTCTCTTTCTCTTTCATTCATTCATTCATTCATTTACTTTCCCATAAAGTTATTAATGTTAAATAAATAGAGAAAATGGTTTAATTAAAAATATAATAATATCAATAAAAAAAATGATAAATGAATGAAATAGACATTTTCAAGAAACCTGTAGAAACGAGCTTCTGACACATGTGGTCTACAAAAGCCCGGGTCTACAGGGTAACTTGTAAATGAGCTTGCTCAATTTATCATTATCATACAGTACCAAGTTGATTTTTTCTACAATTTTTTAATTATTAATATTACAACAAATATTAATTAAATAAATGTCATAAAGAATAACATAAATTATTATCAAATTTATTTAATTGTTAAGTAACTAAAATAATAAAAAAAATATTTTTAAAAATTGGTTATCATATGAACATTGATATATAAAATGGAGAATAAAAACCTTTGTGTCGTTGAAACAATATTTCCAATGCAGACAACAATAAGCAAAGTTGAAGTTATTTGAAAAAAGTCGCCATTTATTATAATATAAAGTATATGACAAACCATTTATGGACTAATATTATATAATACGATTGATTGTCATTTTTTGCATACAATTGGATTTTTGTCATTTATATGACAACAAAATTACGTATTGGTTACTAAATTCAATGATATTATACATCTTAATCAAAGACAGAAAAAATTTTAAGAAATTGAGTTATGCTATGAATTTGAGAGACAAAGAGATATTGAAATGTCTGATTGAAAAGTCAGTATTGAAATGAGAGGGTAAGCGATAAAAAACAATTAATTGCGACGTCTGTATCACAATTTGGTTGCACCTGTACTTAATGGTAGTGTCGGTGAGTAGAGAAACAGGCAATAAGTGGAGGCAATCCGTTTGATTTGAAATCCAATAGAAATAAATGAAATGTTAATTATGTTTGTCAGCCAACCAAAGAAGTTGTGTTTGAATGTAAAATACATGTCTCTATGGAGATGCAGATCAAAGACAGACAAATGATATGCATATGTATTGTATATGTATTTTATAAATATCATTGACTGCATTGACTGCTTGTCTATGGTGTGACACAAACGTAATAATTTCCATCTATTGAAATGATTGGATCAAAAAAGTTGCCCAAACATTGAGAGACAGTGGGGTCACCAGCAAAATGAACTCCATATGTGATAGTGAACTGCAAAATATGCTGTATTTAGAGCCAAGTCTTGCTTTAAGAGGAGAACATATCATAATAATTGCAAGGATTGGCTCCATTGAGGATAATTGCAGAATGAAAATTACAGACTAAGAGTGACTCGACCATCAAAGAGCCCGGAGCTGTCTTTCCTCAAATACATTACAATATATTGTATATATTGTACACATTATACACATTACAGACACTATCACACCATATATACTAAGAGTACATTATATACAAAGCTTTCATTTATCACGAATCGGAAAAACCTGAAGCAAAGCCTAATATACAATGAAATGTTATATTATATGAATTGCATCCAAAACCCATCATTTGG